AAGGTCAGCTATGAGTTGATTCTGGTTTGACATTACATAACAAGCAGAATTAATATTTAACACCAATGCATCATTTATGTCAATAATAATAATAAAAACTTGGAGAAATTGCTCCTGAGTGTTTTTTTTTGTTTGTTTTTTCCTAATGGTGTCATTTCTTCCTTCTCCCCAGTCTGTGACTGCAATGGGAAGTCCAGGCAATGCATCTTTGAGAAGGAACTTCACAGACAGACAGGAAACGGATTCCGTTGCCTCAACTGCAATGACAACACAGATGGCGTTCACTGCGAGAAGTGCAAGGAAGGCTTCTACCGGCAGAGAGAACGAGACCGCTGCTTGCCTTGCAATTGTAACTCCAAAGGTATGTGGAAAAGGAGGGAACAAAACAGAAAGGAGGGTGGGAGAAAGAGGCTCATACACCAACCAAGATATTCCTAGAACAAGTCCGAGAACCAAGAGATCCTGACAATCGGGACTCTCCTAGACTCCCGCCCTTTTTAGCCGCTTCAAGAAAGTTTAACTTTGTTTCTGGTACCATCTGACCCACTTAACTATGAGTTGATGGGACACACTTAGAGCACACTTTTCTTGGCAGTCGTTGACCCAGGAGCAAAAAAAAAAATGTGCACTATTCCAGTGACAAGTGTTTATAGCCATAATTATCCTTTGGCCAACTTCTTGGGGAAAAAAAGGACTTAGAAAGATCTTCCATCATAGCTTCTGATGCTGAGATAGGTGTTGACAATGTAGTGGTAGTAGAGGCAGGAGGGTAGAAGAGGCAGATTAGAATCTTTTGTAGGACGGTTAGTATAGCAAAGTGAAGTGATAAATAGGAAGAATCTCATGGAGTGGCTGGTTCACAGAATGGTTAGTTGTTGTGGTTTTTGTTCTCATTTTATTTTTAGTGTGGTCTGCCACTATCTTTGCACAATTTTAGGTAGTTTCTGTACGTGTAGATACATACACACAACAGCCTGCATCGTGAGCAGGTAGTGAAGACAACTTAGTAATTATCATCAGAGATGCCTTCTAGAAAGAAATTGAAATTTCTTTTTTAAGATCCCCTTATATTTATCTATTCTATTTCTTGATGTTACCTGTTTCTCCTTCTTATCAAATGGAAAATGTTTTATAGCATTATATGAGAAATATTAGATCAGGATTGTATTGCACTGGGAAAGTTTGCAGTCAGGGACCTTTCCAAATCAATGAAGAGCAATGATGTTAGTTGAAGACAAAGGTGTGCCTTATTCAGATCACGGTCTTTTCAATCACATGCTATGATGCTGAAATCTGGACAGTGAACAAGGATGACAGAGGAATTGATGCCGTTAAGATGTGGTACTAGAGAAGAGTATTGAATATCCCATGGAATTCCAAAAGAACAAACAGATGTGTCTTGGAGAAAATGCAGCCAGAGTGCTCCTTGGAAGCAAAGATGGAAAAGCTTCATCTCACATACTTTGGACATGTTGCTAGGAGAGGCTAGCTGTTCATTGGAGAGGGACATCATGCTTGGGAAGGTGGAGGGATGGAGAAAGAGAGCAGGTATTCTTCAACCAGGTAGATTGGTACAATGACTGCTGGAATAGGCTCAAGTGTCAGAGATTTTGAGGATGGCACAGGCTAAGACGGGATTCATATCTGTTGTTCATAGAGGCATTATGAGTCATACTCAACTTGATGGCACCTAACAACAACAGAGATTATTCTATTCAAATTCATTGCCATTGAGTAAGAGTCAACTCGTAACTGACTCTTCACTGGGTTTCTGAATCTGTAAATCACATGGAAGGAGAATGCTCACTCTTTAGGAGTAAAGGATATATAACCTTGTGTAACAATGACTTAGTGTACCTCCGTGGAACCAATTCATAGCAGCGGCTAGAAGACTGAAAACAGGCAAATTTTAGTCCAGATGTGAGCTGCTGGTAGAGTATGTTGGGGGCGCCATAGAAAGCATGAGTCTGTGGTCTGTGCTTGGTGGTGTAGACCAAAATCCAGCTGCTGTGATGTGATCTGAGTTAGATTCAGTCAGCTTTGTACGGTAGAACCAACACACAGAATTCTCTGCACTTAACAATTCCTTTTATGAGTCAAAAACTTTATAAAGAAGGAGAAAAAGAAAAGTTGTTCCATTTTAATGGGTATTTAGCCTCTGAAGAGCTTTTATCCCCTTAGGTCATGCAACTCTGCTGTGAGTCACTGCAGTTGGGTCATCCCAGCAAAGTGATTAGTGGAAATGTAATTAGAAACGTAATTGGCTCAGCTGGAAAGTCTGGCTTGAAGACAGGGTTATTAGTCTTGGGTAGACAAGGAGCTTGCTGTCTAACAAAGACAGATAATAATGAAGAATTTACCACCTGCCTCTTCTTCTAAGGTGTAGTTCATTGTTTGTCCAGCAGCTATGAGCTTGGTCCTTTTTTTTTTAACCATTCACACACCTCTTTATTGTTTTTTTGTGTTTTTTTTTTACAGAGGTTTTGGATTTCCATTCATTCATTGCCGCAATTTTCTCCCTGCCCACCCCTCCCCACCAGCTCGCTTCCCCCTCCGAAGAGAGAAAAAAAATTCCTTCATTAGTATACAATTCCCACGT